TTTGATGAGTTTCTCTGATTAATATTTTGACCACAATAAAATATAAAATATGTTTGATTAATTTTACTATGTATACATATTAATATTTTTGATCAATATTAATTATGGTAAATTCTAACAAAAAATTCTCTTTGTGAACGTATGAAATTTTTTGTCGAAATTTGCAATATAAAAACATATAGAGAACAAGATATTCTTTAAGTTCGAGTTTTCAGTACACGCTGATGATAATCTTAATAATAATGTTTCCGAGTGAAACTCTTCAGTCGCTCTCAGATGGATGATTTCCTCGTTCGGATTTGCATTTACGAGTCGAATGTTTCGGGATTTACCTCTCGGCATCTCGTCGATCGTGAACAAGGACTCTCTCACCGCGGTCATCCGTATGCACACGCGGTCGTATTTATAGTTTGACCGTTAAAAACAACATATAGCGCCGAGTCTGCGGTGGCCCGTTCAACAGGCCACGTAGAGTACGGGACCGGTCTCTTAATCCTCACTCGAAATAAACACGCACACGTGCACTGTCAGCGAGCAAAAACACGCCTCTCCTCCTCGACGTGTCTTGGAGACTCCGCGTTTTACGGCGAACACCCGTTATACGCTTCTGTCCATCGCCACATAAAGAATTTTCAATTTCGTTAACAATAAGTGTCGTTCCAAAGAGTGCGAGAGAAAGAATTTTGTCTTAAAATTCAAATCCCTGAAAATTATGACGATAATCGTAGAACAATATGCTATTGGAAGAATTTTATAAGTTTCTTCGATTCGTTATGTACATATATTGTAAAAAATTATCGAACATAATGTTTATATATATTGTAAAAATTAATCGAACATTAATTTATATTTTATTGTGGTAGATATTTTTATTATGGTTTGGTTATCTCGCGCCGTTACGTTTGGAAAGTATCATAAGAGTCGGGAATAAAATAACGTGAGAGGCATTTATTGTATATAATTCAAAGTATATTCTTCGAGGAACACAGTCTTTTAAAATCGATACATGAAAAATCGTTCGGATTTATAATGTGCGTCCGTACGCGGCGACTGTCAAGAACGGAATCCCCTTGTCATCTCAAAATGTTCTATCTATATCTTGCCTCAAAAACGCCCTTCGCTAGGCTTCGAGAGGCTTCGCGAATTTTCTATATGTTTTACTTGTTTGTTTCTGTACTACTCGTCTTTCGTCTCGTCTGTTATATTTTATTTATGTTTATTTGTGCCTTTGTCCTTTTCGTATATGTGAGTGTCCGTATTCGTATGCGTGTTTTCCTTGTTAATTTCAGGGAAGTATGTGACGATGTAATCGCCACAGTACTCCCCCGCCAGTGCTATACCGATAGCACGATATCGCCCGAATATTGCGCTGTTTCCGCGATAATTTCTTCGCTAGCAGACCGAGACGAATGTTAAATTTTGCTCGTCGTTATGATGCATTCGAAGCGCAAAAACAAGAATAGATATGACGCAACAAAAATACAATAATAAATAATAATAAATAATAATAAATAATAATAAATAACAATGGTATAATAATAAAATACTATTCTAACGCACGTCGCTCTCGGTCTGAGACTCGTCAATTTAATTTTACAAGAATAAAACGCGAAATAGATATACTAAGTTTCTGCTGTGTGTCAAATTCGTTTTTTCGTTGCGTTCCGCGGTTCGTGTCGATCATACTAAAAAATTTTCCAACGAGAACAAAATCAAAGAAAATTGAAATCGCGAGAAATATGTCTTATTTTTTAATTTTTTATTTTTTTTTTTTTTTTTTTTTTTTTTCTCGCGGCGGTTCCTCACGGCTTCGCATGCTGCACATCCTGGTTCCTCGGTGCTACAGGCCCGCCTGGAAACGACTCGGGAATCGGACCTTTCTTCCCGCTCTCGTTGTTCTCTGGCTCTCTCGGGGCAGCGGCCTCGCGTCCTCTCGCGCGTTTCGCTGCTCGACCTCGATGTCCCGGTCTCGTGCCGCCCGTCCGTCGGCCGCATCCTCTCGGCTCCGTGTCGCCGACCCTGCCGAGCTGCCATCTCCTGCTTCGGGCTGTAAAATGTAAGCAGGTTTAAGACGGTCTATTGAGACCGTTTTCTCTTTGCCGTGCATACGCACGACAAAGACCTTGTCGCCTCGGCTGATCACTGTGTACGGCCCCTCGTACGGCGCCTGCAGCATCTTTTTGGGCCCCTCGCGTCGCACGAACACCTGTTCGGCCGTCGCCAGGTCCTTGTACATGAACGGCCGTCGCTCCCCGTGTCGGGTACCGTCCACCGGTCGTAGCTCCTCGAACTGCTCACGCAGCGTCCTCGCGAAGTCGGCAGCGTCGTCCTCGCTGTCCGTAGGCCGTCGGCTCAGAAATTGCCCCGGGATCCTCAGCGTCTGGCCGTACACCAGCTCCGCTGCGGTCGCCTGCAGGTCGTCTCTCCACGCTGCTCGGATCCCAAGCAGCACCGTCGGCAGCACCTCTGTCCAGCGATCGTCTTGCTGACATTTGATGGCCGCCTTGAGCTGGCGATGGAACCGCTCGACCATTCCGTTCGCCTGCGGGTGGTACGCCGTCGTCCTCAGCTGCTGCACGCCCGTCAGCTCGCTGAGCCGCCGAAAAAGATGGGACTCGAACTGGCGCCCCTGGTCCGTGGTTATCCGCACGGGCGCCCCGAATCGGCAGATCCACCCTCCGTAGAAGGCCCTCGCGACCGTCTCCGCTTCCTGATCTCGCAACGGGAACGCCTCAGGCCATCGTGTGAAACGGTCTACGCACGTCAGGCAATATCGTTTGCCCTCCGAGACCGGCATCAGGATGATATCCAGGTGGACATGCTCGAACCTGCTGGACGGCGCAGCAATTGTTCCGAGCGGTGCCGACACGTGTCGTGATATCTTCGATTGCTGGCAAGGCACACATGCTCGAGCCCAGCCTCGGCAGTCGGCGCCCATCGACGGCCAAACGAAGCGCTGCGCCACGAGCTTGCCCGTCGCCTTTATTCCTGGATGCGCCAAATTGTGAATCAGGTCAAATGCGGCCCGGCGAAAAGGCCTTGTCAAGAATGGTCGTGGTGTTGTTGTTGCCGTGTCGCAGTAAATTGCTCTCCCGATTCCGGGAATCTCCACTTTCTCGAGCTTCAGCCCGGACTCTCGCCGCAGGTACTCTCCGATCTCCTCGTCCTTCTCCTGCGATTCCGCCAACGCGGCGTAATCCAGGGGAGAATTGAGCTCCTCGATCCTCGACAACGCGTCGGCCACGACGTTTTCCACGCCCGCTACGTGTCGAATGTCGGTGGTGAACTGCCCGATGAAGTCCAGGTAGCGGAACTGTCGCGGCGTGCTCTTCTCGGGCTTCTGGCGGAATGCGTATATGATTGGCTTGTGATCCGTATATATCGCGAACGTGCGGGCCTCCACCATGTGCCGAAAGTTCTTCACCGCCAGATAAACTGCCAAAAGCTCTCGGTCGAACGCACTGTACTTCGTTTCGGCTGGGCTTAGCCTTTTCGAGAAAAACGCCAAGGGTTCCCAGCCGTCCTTGCCTCGTTGTTGTAACGACGCGCCGATGCTTTGTTCGGACGCGTCGGTAAACAAAGCGAGCTCCGCGTTCACCCTGGGATGTCTCAACAGTGCAGCTTGGGCTAGGTTTGTTTTCGATGCCTCGAATGCCTGTTGAGCCCGCGCCGTCCACGATATCGTCGCCTTTCCTTTGATATTCCCCTGTAGCAGATCGTTCAGGGGCGTCAATACTTCGGCGGCCCCGGGCATGAACCTCCTATAGAAGTTCACCATGCCCAAATATCTCCGAAGTTCCTTCGCCGTCCTCGGCGACTGCATCGTCAGTATCGCCTCCACCCGCGCCGGCAGTGGGCGAGTTCCTCCTTCGGAAACCTCGTATCCGAGGAATTCCACGCTGCTCTGGCCGAATTTACTTTCGCGGGGTTGATGACGACCCCGTATTCTTGAAGGCGCTCGAACAACATCCGCAGGTGTTCGCGATGTTCTTCCTCCGATGATGACGCGACGAGGATATCATCGATGTACGCGTAACAAAAATCGAAATCGCGCAGAACTTCGTCTATGAAGCGCTGGAATGTCTGCGCCGCGTTGCGTAATCCGAACGACATGTACGGAAATTCGTACATGCCGAACGGCGTGGTGATCGCCGTTTTCGGCACGTCTTTTTCCGCCACCGGAATTTGATGATACGCGCGCACCAAGTCCAACGTCGTAAACACTGTCTTTCCGGCGAGAGCCTGCGCGAAATCTTGAATATGTCGCACCGGGTAGCGATCAGGAATCGTTCGCGCGTTTAACGCCCTGTAATCTCCGCAGGGCCGCCATTCCTCGCCTTTCTTTGGCACCATGTGCAGGGGAGCCGACCAGCAACTATTCGAAGGTCGTGCGACCCCGGCTTCCACCATTTTTCGAAACTCTCGCTTCGCCGCCGCCAATCGGTCCGGAGCGAGTCTCCGCGGCCTGCACGCGACGGGCGGTCCCGGTGTCGTCTCTATGTAATGCCGCGTGGCATGGATCGCGCCTCCCGGACGTCCGTCCGGCCTCGCGATGTCGGCGTACTGCTCCAGTAATCGGTGGTACTGCGTTTCTCCCGTAATTGTCTTTACGCTGGGTGCATCACATTGGATGCAACGTCCACGCGCGGTTAGACTCGTCAATTGGTCGATTAAACGCGATCCGCGTAAGTCCACCAGCAGTCCGTAATGTGCGAGAAAATCGGCGCCGATTATCGGTTTCGAGACGTCCGCGACCACGAACCGCCACGAAAATGCCCGTCGTAATCCGAAATTCAACTGCAGTGTCTCTGTTCCGTACGTCAAAATCGGTGTGCCGTTGGCGGCCGAAAGTTCGTAGGTGGATCTCTGTCGTGGTCCTCGAACCATCTTCCGAGGGTACACGCAGAGATCCGCACCCGTGTCAATTAAAAACGTCACTTTTGAAGTCGCGTCGGTCACAAATAGGCGTCGCGTACCGTGGCCTGAGTCGCTCGCCGCCACTAGCGACCGGCCCCTGCGTTTCCCTGCTGCATCGAGCAGGGTGCCCTGCACTGTCTGGCGTCCGCCCCGAATTGCCAGTGATACCAGCACATTCCACTGGCCGGCGGATCGCGACCTCCCGATCGCGCGCGCGGGCGCGAACGCGAACGCGAACGCGGACGACGTCGGTCGTCATCGCGACTTCCTCGGTAGCGCGCACCGCCGATCGCCTCAATTGAGTGCCGAATCGCCGCCATCTGCTCCGCGATCTCCTGCTGCATCGTCAGCCGCATCTGCGCCAGCCGCACCTCGAATCTCGCCTCCAGAGACGCGGGATCACTTGCGTTCTGCCCCTGAGGCGCCACGGCTCTCGTCGCTTCCGCCACTTGGAATATCGGCGCCCGGGTTGCCTCGATTATCGCGTCCGCGATGTCCGCCAATTGTTCTGGCGTGTCTCCCGTTCGCGTCACTAAATGCGGCTGAATATACGCCGGCAGCCGACTTAGCCAGATCGTTCGCAGGACCTGGTCGCCCACGACACTTCCGGCGAGGCCGCGCAGGTGCCGCAAGAACTGCGACGGCTTGCGATCCCCGATCTCTTCGTGCTCCAGGAGTCTTCGGGTTTTGTGCTCCTGCGACAAGCTGAGCCGTTTGATCAGCTCTGATTTCAATGTCTCATACGCGCGTTCCGCGGGCGGATTCATGATGACGTCGCGCACCTCGACCGTATAGCGCGGTCCGATGGCCGTCAGCGCGTACCCGAATTTCGTTGCGTCGACCGTGATTCCGGCGGCTTGGAAACTCCGGTCGACGATACTGAACCAGAGCTCAGGGTCCGACGGCGTGAACTCTGGCATTCGCATGCCCACGCGGCTCACCTCAGGGGCGGGTAAAAAATACCCTGGCGGCTGCTCAAATCTCGCCGGTTGCATCCCGGGCAGACTTATCGGCATCCCGTGGAGTCGCGGCTGCTCCAGCACTCGTGCCTCCGGCTCCGTCAGCGGGACGCTCGTTTCCTCGTCCCGTGTCACCACCATTGCACACGCACCGCACTCAGTAATTCGTGTGGTCAGAAAAATATAAAAAATCGCGAATTCCCGCTCGTTCGCGATCACGTCGGGGTCACCACTTTGGTTATCTCGCGCCGTTACGTTTGGAAAGTATCATAAGAGTCGGGAATAAAATAACGTGAGAGGCATTTATTGTATATAATTCAAAGTATTGTTCGCGCCCCCGTGTTACGCCCCTGAATCTTCATCTTTGTATCGGGTGATACTTTTCGCGGGATCAACTCTTTACGCCTCCGGAAGATCGTCGTCAAGGGAGTTGTTGTTAAACAACTAAGGGTCTTCTTCTGTTTCGGGAGACATGACAGATTTGGTCTAGCGGTCGCATCGTGCGGACGTTTTCCGAGACCGGAGCTTCTTTGCATTACGAATGCACTATTTGTTATATTTCATTGGTTTCGTGTATTGGTTCCTCATATTAAAGTTCATTTCCCTATTATGCGAGTGTCTTTATTTCGCGCGCGAGTGAGAGTGACTGTGTGTGAGTGACTGAGCGAGAGGCGTCCCGAGGACGCAACATTTTGGGGGCTCGTCCGGGATCAAAACCGAAAGAATCGCATCTTCCTGAGAGAACGCCAAAATGACGACTCAACATTCGCCGAAAGCGACGCGTTCCCGAACAACGATGAAGGAGATAGACGAGACGGATGCGTTGCAGACCGCACTGCGAGAACTACGAGAAATGCGGGCCGAACGAGAACATCAGCAAGCTCGCTTTGAGACTCTTCTCCGAGAGAAGGACGAACAGCTGCACCAGCTCGAATTGAGGATCTCCTCGCAGCAAACTAACCAGCTAAGTCCTTCTAATATAAGAGCTTCTGGGGATACACGACTGAATTTAGCTTGCGCGAGTACCGCGAGTGCCGCGATAGCCGCGAGTGCCGTGATAAACGCGGGTGAGACGACCGGTGACTTTCGTGCGAAAACGGGCTTAAAACTGAAGCCCGATACATTCGATGGAAGGGTTCCGCTGCGGGAGTTCCTCTCCCAATTTCTTTTGATAGCCGTCGCGAATAATTGGGATGAGAAAGCAAAAATGATTACTCTCGCTGCAAATTTAAGGGGAAAAGCTCGGTCCGTTTTAGAAAATGTCGAGAATTTTGAAGAATTAACATTCGCGGAATTAAAATCAAAATTAGAGTTGCTTTTTGAAGACGGAAACTTGACGCAAAATTATTACTATCTTTTTACGACACGGAAACAAAAATATGGAGAGGATTTCGCTTCCTTTGGAGCCGAACTTGAGAGACTGTCGCGTCTGGCTTACCCCGAATGTCCATATGCGGTCCGCGATAAAATAGCATGCGCGCAATTTGTCTCGGCATTAATAGACGGGTTTGTCAAAAGAACCCTTCAACTGGAGGGAATTACATCCTTAAATTTGGCTATAGAAAGAGCTAAGGCCATAAAAATAATTCAGGGGGATAGTTTTGATAGAAAAAGAGACAATTTTAGTAATAAAGGAAATTACGGCAAAATAAGTCAAAATTATCAAAAAGGAGAGAGGAGCGACGCGCGAACCGATTCCGAAAAAAAGAAAAGCGAACGGTTTGACTCGAAAGGGGAAGCGCAAGCGAACAACTTTTCGGCCAAAGAGAAAGAATGTTGGTCTTGCGGGAAGACTGGGCATTTGCGTTTTCAATGTCCTGAGGCGAAGAAAACTAGAGGTAGTTGAATTTTTCGGGGAAAATTCAATTCTTACAGAAAACGCCCCGACGTCCAATTTTGTTGATCTCATTGATTGTAGTGTTAGAAGGACCTTTCTCTATTGTAAAGAAATTCAACGATGTGGTGTACTGCATTCAGAAGACACCCAGACATCGGAAGAAAGTAGTGCATGCAGATAGATTAGCTCCATTTTTAGATAGAAATATTGATTGTTAATTAGAAATAGTACAAAACTCAAATAAAGATTGCTAGGAATTGGAGAGTTGTGTTTGTGTGTATATTTGTAAGTGCATTTTTTTAATTGGTGAATTTATTCTGCGTAAGGAATGTTTTCTTTTCTAGTTGGAAATTTTTAAGAAGAGGCTTGCCTGAGTTTCTGTTACAAGAGAATTCTCTGAGGAAGTTCCTGCGACCATTACTCATCGAGGGCAACTGGCTCCTTTCAATTGAGAAGACCGTCTCATCTTCAGAAGATTGGTCATTTGGTTCATCACGTTGAAGACTGTCCCTCTCGTGGTTTTTGATCCGTGGTTTTCCCACGAGACTGAGGGCAAATGCCGGGACAGAGACTTAGGGTGTTCACGAGGAACGTTGGGTCCACGGAAGATATTCCCCCCCTTTGTCTGAAGATTCATGGACCATTTCGTTATCCTTCCGGGAGACGGCGAGTATAGTGAAACCGCGAAGACAGCAGGGATATCTTCTATCAACTCGACTGTTATGGGAAAAATCTGGCCAATTTTTCTTCAAAAAAACAGTTCGAGTACGGAGAGGAGGAGGGCGAAGCTCGGTAACCTGTAGCAGCAGCTAAGGGAGAGCAGGATTCGTCCGGACAGTGTAGACGCAAAAAGAGAGGGACCAGGCGTTTCGTTCGGTAACCTGTAGCAGCAGCTAAGGGAGAGCGGAGTATCGTTGGTGCCCTAATAGCAGCGTCAGAGTCCTGGGTCTTCAATCTCCGTGAGAATTGTCGGGACGACAATTTTGAAGAAGGGGGGCAGTGTTGCGCCCCCGTGTTACGCCCCTGGATCTACATCTTTGTATCGGGTGATACTTTTCGCGGGATCAACTCTTTACGCCTCCGGAAGATCGTCGTCAAGGGAGTTGTTGTTAAACAACTAAGGGTCTTCTTCTGTTTTCGGGAGACATGACAGATTTGGTCTAGCGGTCGCATCGTGCGGACGTTTTCCGAGACCGGAGCTTCTTTGCATTACGAATGCACTATTTGTTATATTTCATTGGTTTCGTGTATTGGTTCCTCATATTAAAGTTCATTTCCCTATTATGCGAGTGTCTTTATTTCGCGCGCGAGTGAGAGTGACTGTGTGTGAGTGACTGAGCGAGAGGCGTCCCGAGGACGCAACAGTATATTCTTCGAGGAACACAGTCTTTTAAAATCGATACATGAAAAATCGTTCGGATTTATAATGTGCGTCCGTACGCGGCGACTGTCAAGAACGGAATCCCCTTGTCATCTCAAAATGTTCTATCTATATCTTGCCTCAAAAACGCCCTTCGCTAGGCTTCGAGAGGCTTCGCGAATTTTCTATATGTTTTACTTGTTTGTTTCTGTACTACTCGTCTTTCGTCTCGTCTGTTATATTTTATTATGTTTATTTGTGCCTTTGTCCTTTTCGTATATGTGAGTGTCCGTATTCGTATGCGTGTTTTCCTTGTTAATTTCAGGGAAGTATGTGACGATGTAATCGCCACAGTGGTAAAGATTAATCAGAGAAATTCTTATAAAATTCTTCCAATATCATATTATGTCTTACGATTACCATGATTTTCAGGGTAAATTCTAACAAAAAAATTCTCTGTGTAATTGTCAATGCTTACATTTTAAAAAATATATGAAATATATTAAGGTTATACAGAAAATTTTAGAACAAAAAATCAAAGTACAAATATGCATATTTTGAAATAAAGTTTCGATAATTTTTTAATCTTTCGTGCTAATAAACATACTGAAGTTAACACTCTAGAAGCTTATACAAAGAGAGTCGTTCAAAGAATCGTAAAATAATCGTGTCGGTTCCGCTTCGTTCGAATCCCTTTGGACAAAGAAGAAGAAGAAGACTCGTCCATTCAGAACGAAATCGAAAGGAGGAGTCGAGAAAGAGAGAAACGTGTTCGGTGTTTGCAACACGCAAATATCCCGCATGCTATGATCGACATATGCTCTCATTCTTTCTCGCCACGCTCGGCCGCGTTCGTTAATGAATATGCTAACATTACGTAGCTGTGGTCGGCATCTGTCGCTCCGAATTTCATTGAAACCGCTTTCATTGAGCATCACCAATTTTCATATAAAATATTCACGAATCAACGGAGAGACGAAACGCGTGAGCTCTCGTAATCCTTCAAGTCCAGATATGTGACATTTATTACGCCTCGTTTACTGTATCGATTCGATATTAATTGCATATTTCATTAATTTTGCCAATTATTGTATTCGTATTCCATGTGTTTCGCGTTGAACAAACTTATCTAATTAAAATCTTGTTTTTCATCTTTTCGATAAAATTTATCAGGAATTTATAAGATTTCGTCGCTGAATTTTTCATCCGGGATTATCGTGGAACGATGGTGGATCGATCAATTCAGGAGATGAATTCGACGATCCCTGGTGCGAGTTAGGTCCAGTTACAAGCTGATCGTTTCCAAGTAACGATCCTGTACACACGGGGATCGCCGAGGCCTCCTGTTGCCATCAACAAAATCTGCTTGGCCCGCAGCTTATATTGCCCGAGTCATTATCTTTCGTAATGGCCGCTCTTAATTTCATTTTGGCCCCCATTCGAAAGGGTAACGGTACGCGTCTTTAATACGGACACTCGAACGACCGAAAAATGTCAACCGGATCAACTAGCTAGATAATTTATCAGTGAGCAACCTGATTCGTGTCAAATGTCTTCTTCCGACATGACTTTTTAATTTATCATTTGCGCCACGTGTACCTAAATGAAAGAAAATCATATATTCAATAGGATCATTTATTCATGTATCTAATTCAATTATATATTATATTTTTATATTTTATATTCAATAATATAAAATATTTTTATAATATAATATATTTTTAATAATATAATATATTATTTAATATATTATTTTATATATATTTTATTTTACCTAAATGGAGGAAAATGATATTCAATATGATAATTTTAATTCACGTATCTAATTCAATTACATATTATATTTTTAGATTTTATATTATTTAATAAATATAAAATATTTTTTATAATATAATATATTTTTAATAATATAATATATTATTTTATACATAATATTTTTCGTTT